AGTATTTAATTAGTAAACTATCAGTATACCTATAAGTTCACTTTTAGTATAGTTGCAGTACAAGCTGAAAATATTGATGTAAACTAGTTGTGTACTCAAAGTTTACAACTGTTAAACTTAAAGTATACTTAAAAGTATACTTTTATATACTAGAAAGTGGGCCAATTTAGTCCCAAGGAGTATTGAAATAGTACACTTACAAGTATACTACTAGTACACTGATATTTGTATACTTACTACATAAAGTATACTTAAAAATATACTTGAACTTTACTTAAGTATACTTAATAAAATAAACTTGAAGTATGCTACTTTTTGGTAAGGGATGGTAGGCTATTCATAACCAGTCCTGAGACAATAACAATTTGCGTACAGCGATGACGTAATGCTGTTGACATCCTGAATTATTTAGGTTTTTAGTGCCACCTGTTGGTTAATGAGACTTTGCATATTTGATTGATTTTCGAGCTCCAAACGTTGAGGTAAATATACCTTTTACTGTTACTGTTAGATTTTCGTGTCTTTTATTCTTTTATTGTCCTATATATATATTTTTTTTGCTGACAGTCGTTTAGCCTCAAGGTTATTCTTTCTGAGTAACAGTAGAGCCATACTTGATTGTTTTATCGCTAGAGGGCAGTGTTACTCTTTGCCTCGTCTGATACCACATTCACGTTAATTATGTTGCATTAAAACGGAAAGTTAAAAAATATGAATCGTCAGCAGCCAGAACACTGTCAAGATGACATTCTTTTAAACAACTGACCTTCTGTGTAATCTTCTTCTTTGCATAAATGCTCCACGTTTTTCATTTCCTGTCTACATGCTTCCTACTGAGGCAGTCTTTCACATTTATATTATAGTGCTCTTCTGTTTTAGTATATTAATCTTACCTGTTGTCTGAATGAAACAGAATGTAACCACATTAATTTCCCCTCCTTTTCCCTCCAAGAGCAGCTTAAATGTGCTCTGGCTGTAGGAGTAGAAGAGGTGAGTTGTGAGTGTTGATAGCAGTTGGTCTTTTAAGGAAAAGAGGGTCTTGGGGAATTCCCTTCACACTATATGAGGTAAGAGCAGACAAACAGACATTTAACCTCTGTCTTAAGTCAACCATCCCCCACTGAGGCTGTTTGACCTGAGTTTAATAAGTAATAATGATTTTTTTCATTTTCAATGACATTTTTTCTCTACTCATTGTCAAGGATCAAAATTTCTTCAACCATTTTAATCGAATCTGACAAGATAAGAGCTGAAAGATTTACAAGATGTGATTAGAACAGATCAAATAAACCATGATTATTGCAAATTAGTTTAATGGGTGACTAGAAAGTATGTGACCGATCGAAAGTGCAACAAGTGCATCATTAAACTGCAGAAATTTAGCTGAAGTGAATCAAGTGCTTCAGAACGGCCACATTTGTCTACGTAAGTGACCATGCAGAGGCTTATGTCCTGAAGCTATGCTCTGCTGCTGATTCCCAGAAGTGGGAGGGCAAGGGAATCTATATGCTTTTTTAGTTCAATAGGCCACACAGTTCAGTGACAACTGATGGATGAACATTATCAGATGCCAACCACTCCTTCCTTGATAATCCCTCAGTCCCACTCCAAAGCTCTGCCCAACATGTTTCCTATATATATATATAAAAAATCTATAAAAAAATTTAAAGATAAAAAAGATTTAAAAAATCCATACATAGCCTACATTTATGCAGTTAACACATTGACATTTTATTTAGCTTTCCCTGGGAATTGAACCTATGACCTTGGTGTTGCTCTACTGTTTGAGCTACAAGAAAGCATGTGTATATTTATATGTACACATTTCAGAATTTTTACATGCATACATTTCCGTTATACAGACACACTTATACAGGCCACATACCCCTTGCACTTTTATGAGCATAGAACATTGCCCAGCCCATATATGCAAGATATCACTGTTCAACAAAGCGGTTATGTGCACTGATTACCTTCACAGACGGCCTGTGGAAAATATTAACCTTTTGTGTTAATGATGAATCTTTTGTGAAACCTCCTCACGGGTGAATCGCATTGAGAGGACTGGCCAAATCTTAAAAATAAGCCTAACAAGGGCATGGCTCGTCAGCCTATTCAAAAGAGTTTGGAAATCTGCCAGATTTTTATGAATATGCAAACTTGAGCCGTATTCCATGTCCTTCCCACTTTGCTAAGGGATGCCATATTAAATAAACACTGAGACAGGCATATTCACTTTATGGATCCAAGATCGATATGCACTGGAATAGTCAATGCCACGGCCGTGACCCCCATGAAGCCTCTAAGAATGTTTGTGTTTTTTATTCCTAAAGACCTTTGATCATCTTTGAGAGGTGTGTCTATTTTGTTACCATGTGCATCTCTATATGCAATCCATCCGAACACTATGTGTGTGTGTTTGTGTGAAAACTGCCTTTATGTACAAGCGTGCATCTGCTTGTCTGCGTGAACGGCTCTTTCCTCTTTCCTGTATCCCCAGGGTCTTGCAGACTCCTCCACACCATCATCTTTTGCCGTATCCCACGGTTAATTAGAAGTCGCTGAGTAATAAAAGGTTCCTTTGGAGCCTGCTGAATGAACCCGCTGATTAGCCCACAATGCCTCATTACGCTTGGCCTTGTCATTTGGGAATAAGCCATTCAGCGTTAAAGAGCTTACAGCCACTGCATCTCGGCATCCAGGTGTCACCGTTCCAGTCCCGCGCTGACTCTGTACATTGAAGTTGATAAATGCTGTATACGCTGCAAGCTGGGCTGCTTTCAATGAGCCATTTATTCTGTGAAGAAGTTTTTGAAAGTCTATAAGATTCTTTTCGAAATCAAAATGTCCTCTTTCTTTTGAAGGATGAGTTTGCGATAAAGTGCTGTACACTTTCCTGCACTTTAATGCTCGGCAGTAAGCGAGAGCACAAGACTTGTCCTCCAATGCCTCATTACGCTTGGCCTTGTCATTTGGGAATAAGCCATTCAGCGTTAAAGAGCTTACAGCCACTGCATCTCGGCATCCAGGTGTCACCGTTCCAGTCCCGCGCTGACTCTGTACATTGAAGTTGATAAATGCTGTATACGCTGCAAGCTGGGCTGCTTTCAATGAGCCATTTATTCTGTGAAGAAGTTTTTGAAAGTCTATAAGATTCTTTTCGAAATCAAAATGTCCTCTTGTACACCGCTGTACACTTTCCTGCACTTTAATGCTCGGCAATGAGAGATTCAGAGTAGTTTAAAACACTTCATGCACTTTTCAACCATATTTACATATTGTTATTGGTTGTAAATCAATATTTGGCAGCCATATTTGTTTGCACTGAAATCAATGTGAACATAAACATTTGCATACTCTTATAACCTTCAAAAACATGGTGAATGATCATATGGTGGGGTGTTATGAACCCTTGATCATTTCTGTAATATATTTACTCATCAGATGAGTCATGCAAATGAAGTGGTTCATTCAGACTGCAAATCTGTGGTCTCATGGGAAGTGCCGCCAGTGTGATGGCCCATGGCAATCAAATAATGAATAACAACAGTCAAATATTCTTTCATCCCCATAACCAAGCTGAATGTGGATTACAAGAATGTGGGTTTTCACACATTTTAGGTTTTTATAACTCTGGCAAACCTTGGCCAAGAGAACACCTGTTTAGTACTCCTTGGTGATAAGTGTGAATTTGGTAGATTTCTACAAGTGTTGGGTCATGCAGAGAACTTCCAAAATAACATTGCACTCTGGATTCTGTCCAATCAGCAACCTGCACACAGTAAGAAACATCTCACGCACAATCTCATATATCTTTCACATCTCTTCCTTTCAACACTTGTGTACATTCAGACAGCTTTGTTCCCTGCTCAACTTGAACTGATATAAGAAGGTGCAGGTGTTACCGAAAGGATAAAACGTTTTTTTCAGTGTGCTAGGAGAGAACAGAACACAAAGAAATACAATACGATGATCAGTCTAAAATACAAGTACTTCCAAAGAGAATGGAAGTGCATATTGTTTTGAGATATTGAAGCTTTTTACATTGAAACTGCTAGGTTAGCTGAACCCAATGTGGAATTATGGAGTATTGGAGGGTTTGACTCTCCAAATTAAGATGTGAAAACCCTAACACAAAGGTTTGAAAGAGTATGTATTCTATGTATTATTTTACACTTAAAATGCCTATATAAGCTATGATTTTCTGAAATTCCACACGTTTTGTTAAAAAAGTTGGTAAAATATGCTAATTCACGTTTAACTGTGACAGATAATAGCCTACTAACAAAAAATATTTTCAAATTTCAAAAGTAACTGAATAATTGCGCACAGTGACTGATTCAATTAATTTCAGTTAGTAAAATATAATTATAGGCAGTGCAATAACTATAATTAAGTCAATGTAATCATCCATCACCCTGGTGTAGGCGTTATGCTTGTTCATTACAATTGCATTCCCTTGAAATATAATGATAATGGCTTTTCTTCCCCGCGCTGAACAGCCTACATGTAGGCAGGATCAAGTATTTGAGAAGGGCTCTTGATTGTCGTGAGATCATTCGTCGTCTGTCCAGTGGCTGCAATTGGTCGCATGAACGTTTTTTCCCCCCGGACTCAAGACTAAAGGATGAAATGAGGTGCAGAGCTGAAGAGCTGAGGGAATGGACGAATAAAGACAGACGAAATACGCACACGGAGAGCGCTGTGAGCCATCTGACTGACGCTGCGAGAAGATACGAGTGAAGTCTGACCATCACAAGACGCGGGGATTTGGATCACATTTAGATCAAGTGGATTTCACTGAAGCGAATGGTGTGAAAGGTAAGACTGCTGTCGGATTTCATCTGTTACATTCTCTACTCTTTATCTGATATGCGTTTGTTAAAACAATAGCCTACTGTGAGAATTACTCAAGATGCAGACTAGAAAATATATGCGATATATTTTTGACTGTTTTGCCACTTTTGTATTGTTATGCATTTTCTTGTATTTATTAAAGAGAATTGAATGTATAATTTTGGAAAACCTTTTTAGTTCAATGTATCTCTTACACAATATACTTAAAAGTGTGTTTAATTATATATAGCAATAGCACAAAATATTTATAGCCTTTATTTTTTACTCGTAAAATATTTCCCCAACTGACGTAAATAGAAACTTTCAAATGTTCTTAAAACAATTTTATAATATAGCCTAGTTGATATAAATAAGTAGGTTTTCTATTATTATTATTATTATTATTGCTAGTATAATATTCTCTAACTGAAAGAGAGAGAGAGAGAGCCAGAGAGAGAGAATCATAGGGATGTCCCAGACACCACCAATGCTCAAAGAATTGACTTGATGTATCCTACATCTATTTTTAAATTTAGCGCGTTTCATCTTTACTGTGCTGTTGAGAATAGAAATGAAGCCAAGGTGAGTGCTTGATGTTTATTTCAGGATTCATCATTCAGTAGCAGGTTAAACACACACACACACACTCAGGTTTGTTTTTATGGTTTATGGGGACTCTCCATAGGCGTAATGGTTTTTATACTGTACAAACCGTATTTTCTATTGCCCTACACCAACCCTACCCCTAAACCTACCCCTCACAGGAAACTTTCTGCATTTTTAGATTTTCAAAAAAACTAATTCTGAATTATTTATAAGCCTTTTGAATTACGGGGACACTGAAAATGTCCTCATAAATCACCATGTTATTATACAAATTTGTGTCCTCATAAACCACATAAACA